AAAACCTAATAACTATTTCTTCGTCCCCTCAGGATTTCCTGAAAATACCTTCGCTCTAATGGAAATCCTAAGAAACCACCCTCTCTACTATGCTTTAACTGCTACTCGACCCACACCAAAAACCTACATTACCCAATTTCTATTGAGTGCCTACATAACCACCCTCGTTAATACTGAGCTAACCATTGTTGGTTATGCCTCTCACCCTGTAAATAAATCCCTTGTCCCATTAGAACTAAATGTGGAATCCCTGAGAACTGCTCTTCATTTGCCCACTCTTGAACAATTGAACCTGAATGCCTATGCCGCCACWCCTACAGACRAAGAACTAATCAAATTTTTGGAGTTCCATTCCTATGCGACACCGATCACCAAAAGGACCCAGTTCAGGCGTAAGGGACTACCCCCTGTATGGAACACTCTTTTCTCCATCATCAATTGCTGCCTCACAGGGAAGGTAGGTAGCCATGACCAATCATCCCACGCTATGATGTCAATAATGTATGGCATCTATTTTAATCTGCCACTGGACTACGCGTAATTGATTTTCTAGGACATAGTCGGCCTCATCAAGAAGAAGTGCGCCAGTCACAAAGGGGAGAAGACGAAGGTCCAGGCCCAGAAGAAGGCCAAGGAAGACATGAACCAGCCAAACCTGATCTTACAACGCTTCCTTGGTTTGGCTTTTGGAGACCTTCTGGCAGCAAGATTGCCCTCTGTGGAGCCGAATGCCAAACTATACCCCTTCAAGGAGTTTATACCTACAGAGCATGAGCATGGCTACAGAAGTCCAAGGCCCCTATCAAAGGCCATGCTCAGGTACTTAAGCCACCATGATCAAAAATCCTATAGACGTGCAAACAGGCGACCAGAACCGGTCCCTGTAACCCCGCCACGAATAGGTGTCCCGTTAGGTGTGGAAATCGAAAAAATGAGAGTCGAGGGACGAACGGAGGAGCCAGTAGTGGCTGGTGAGGTGAGAGAGGAACCCCCTAGAATCCCAAGTCCTCCTTGCAAAAAGATGAAGACACAGAAGGGTACCGACTCTTCTGTGAGAAAGTCGAAG